GTCAGGTCCTGTTCGCCCATCCCTGGTTTCGAAGGGTTTGGATATTGCAAGAGATCAGTATGTCCAACAAGCCGAAGACGATTGTCTACTACAAGGGCAATAAGATGTCATGGAGGAAGATATCCATAGCTGCCAGCTGGTTTGGTCAATATTCTCCGGGGCAGAAGTTCCGCTATGTCCAGTTTCCACCATCCGTCCGCCAACATGAGATGATTGTAACAACTTGGACAGCTATGGACGCCTCAGGCCCCTCGTCTTTCCAATGTCTGCAACGATATGGAGGTCTCAGAAACAGATACAACGAGTGGTTTTACACTCTTTTCTTCTTGTGGTTGGAGCCGCGGCTTACTGAGGTTCTTCACGACAGCCGCTTCTGTCTGGCAACTGATCCTCGTGACAAGATCTATTCATTACTCAACTTGCCGAGTCCAGCTATTGCACAAGCAGAGTCTGCGTGGCTGTTAGAAGTCGACTATAAACTTCCCGTGGCAGAAGTCTACCTAAGAGCAGCGCGCTATAGCATCGAGACCGAACGCTCCTTTGAGATCCTTTGCTACAAGGACGCAACACCGAATATCCCCGATCTGCCTTCTTGGGTACCTGACTGGACCGCTCAACGACTTTTTCCCATGCAGCGCATATCCAACCCCTTACACTACAGATCTCAATTCCACAGTAACATATGGCCCGACAGGTCGTGGACGCCGCCACTCCGAAGAACTAGTAATCAGTCTCCAGTAGCCTCTTTCAGTGCTGATGGAAAGAACATCACATTAAGAGCCTACAAGCTAGACACGATCATAACGACTAGCTCTATCTGGGACGGCACGCTATATAAACCTGACAATACGCGCTTCGAGGAGTGGGCGTCTCTGTACACTGGTGGATCAGCTTCAGAGATCACCACTTTACCTTTTCGGCGCGAACGATGGCCCAAAGGTGTGCGAATACACCCACACACGATCGGTGATTTCTGGATAAGAGTCGGACGTCACCCGCGACTGAAATCGACAGATATCATGGAGCCATTCTCAACGAATCATTTCGCGCAAGAGAGATGGAGAAATAGCCCTTACCATCGTCACCGCCGAGCTCGGGCGCTTGTATTCTCCAGACAGGGAAATACGGCATTGTTATGGTCTAAGGACTGGCTTGCAACGACACTCCCGTACGCGTCAATCGGTAGACGTCTCGCAGCCACACAGACTGGATATTTCTTGCTCGTACCACCGGATACAGAGCAGGGCGATGCGGTCTACTTCTTCGAAGGTGGCGGAAGTGTAGGATACGTGCTTAGATCGAACGACAGAAGGCCTGATTTCCGGTTCATCGGAGCTGCCTATGTGCATGGTTTCTACGGTATCAAGAATTGTTGGCAGGGCATGGAACAAGAGACTGTGGTGTTGAAATGAAGAGTCTGAGGAGACTCCCTGTGCCTTCATACAACCGGCGAAACGATGTAGAGACTCAAAGTAGGGCTGGTATCATTAACACCTGCAGATCTTATGAACAGATTCATTGACGAACGACCTGAGATGAATGATGACTATTGAAAATCATTCTAGCTACGTCTACATGCTATCACTCCCATTGGATTTAACAACACTTTCATGGAACGAGCTGTAGCGAAACGACGCATTGTCGCGTAGGCCCGCGCACTGGTCCATTTTGTCGTAATGCAAATTTAGCTGAATACGAGGCCAGGCTGTCGATACCCTGAGTTGTTTAAAGTAGCGCAGTATCCATCCGAGGGCGTATAAATTCTCCGAACATGCAGGGCTGGCCCGCCGGGCTTGATGAGCTCGGATGTAACATGACGAAGCCTCACACTCATCTTTGCGTTCTGATATCGATGGACATGCTCATCAAGTTTGCGAAAGGAGTTCTTCAAACCTCATTTTTGGGAAGCTTGCTTGTTCCAAGGACAATGCCCCATCAAAGAACCACAACATCATTCAAGGTTACATTAATCCATCTGCATTCCAGTAGCCGTCTATCTAAACCAAGCTCCTCTTAACCCTACTAACAGCACTAGCACTCGGCGTACTAGTCGGCGGCAACGGCTCAAATTCCTCAGTATGAGTAGCCTCCGCGGTACCATTCGTGCTGTAGTCGTCCGTAACAACCTGACTGCCATCCGCGATAACAACATGATCCAACACGCGCTTAAAATGCTCAAGACTAGCCACAGGCTGGTAATACGGCACCTCATGACCCGCCTCATAGATCCTAGTAAACGAGAAGTTACCATACTCGCGCACCTCACCATACTCAACGCCATCAACAAGGAAGGGAGTGTAGCCCGCAGCGCGGAAAGCTTCAGAGTCTGTGTAGTTGACAGCGAGGGAGACGGCTTCGCCGCCGAACCAGTTGCAGATGTAGTCTGCGTCGCCGTAGAGGAGGGCGACGCGCACGCCGTAGCTGAGGATCTCCTCGAGGTCTTCGAGGAAGTTGGGGAAGACGAAGTCGCCGGTGGTGGAGAAGCCGTAGGAGACGTTGGGCGCGTTTGTGCTCGTGTAGTTGATTTTTACGCCGATGGCTTCTTGTGTGGAAGCCATGTTGAGGAAGTCTTCGAAGTAGTCCGGGGGCGTGGGGTCGTCGTAGGGGTGGCGGATGTCGTAGACGCCGCGGCCGCCGAAGGCGTAGTAGGGCTCTTCGACGAGGGACCGGCAGAGGTTAGTGGCTTGCGCGCAGGTGAGGTAGCCGGCTTCGGTGGTGCGGTCGGATTGCTTGCAGTATTCGATTTGGTCGTGGCAGCCTTCGGGCATGTAGTAGGCGTTCTTCATGAAGGTGTAGACGGTGTCGTTGACGGCCTTGATGCCGTAGGTGTTGTTGACGGCAAATTCGGGGTAGTAGGGCGCCTGGATCTGCTCGTCGATTATACCGTTAATGACACCGAGAGTGTCCATCTCGACTTCGACACCGGCACATGAGCCGTTCTTGATCTTCTGGTTCTGTTGGTAGAAGTAGTTGTAGAAGCCTGGGCCGTAGTGACCACCGTAACTGGGGACATTGTCAGCATTGCGATCATCTCTGGACAATCACATGACCTACCTCTCAGTCCAGAGGTTGAAGGTGAAGTTGGTGATATCGGGGTCGAGCTGTGGGCTCAGCTCCAAGAAAGCCTGGAGAATGTGCCATGCACCAATGGCTGCAGCATCGGTGGTGTTTGCAGTGTCTGGGTCGACGAGCGAGTAGCGGCCATCCTCATCTGTCTCGGTGGTTTCGTAGGAAAAGCCGACACCCACGGGCTGTGAAAGGTACAGCATGTTGCTGCGCTCATTCCACGAGTAAGGGTTTAGCTGTGTCTTCAAGTCCTCGGTAACGTTGCAAGGGCCATGTTCCTGGAACAGACCAATGAGAGAGTCACTTCCGGGTCCTCCGTTCAACCACAAGGTCTGACAATATGATTAGTACACGTTGCAGTAACGCTTCACGAACACAGCACTTACCAATGGCTTCTCAGAAGGGTTCTCGCGAGCCTCAAAGAACCAGAAGAACATGTTCGTCGTCGGGTTGAGGCTGATGTAACCAGCATAGTCGTCGACACCCTCAGTGGTCTCGCACACACCCGCCTTGCCAGGCTGCTTGTACGTGATCTTAGCACCAGCAGCAGAAGTAATGGTCGTGACGCCGGTAGGGTCAGCGGGCACTTGGCGTTCCTTGATGAACGGCGCGCGAGCGTTGGCTAGCGAAGCAGCGGCCAGAACGGCGGCGAGTTGAGCGAAGCGCGCCATGGTGGGAAGCTTGACGGGAAGAAGAGCAACCAAGACTTCAGCGAATGCTTGCCTAGCAAAGTCGTGTCTTCCACCTCTTTATATACACGGCCTTACTACGAAGCCAAGCGGCATTGCGTGCACCGGCTCACCTAGCTACGCATGCCTCTCGCGTATTTCAGCGCTGGATCAACGTCAGACTACATGGTCGTATGCTGCGAGCCGCGGGTTAGGGCACAGGAAAGTAGTCTAGATCAGGCAACTGCGGACGTTCTGTGCAATTATTGGCCGGATAACGTGTCTCTGAAGATCCTCCGGCTATGTGCTGGGAGCAGTGCTCAGGAAGTTCGGCTAGGATGTACCGGCACGTCCCTGGCGGGGTGATAGAGCTGTTTCACCTGCACGACCATCAATAATCATTGTGCCGTCTTCTTGCACTCTTTTCTTCAAGTTGCAAATACACCCATGATGCTCGCACACCTAGTTCCTGTGGTGCTTTGCGACAATATCGCGTTGACGTTGAAGCCTCGTATCCACAAGCCCCAAAGCTTGCTGCAGCGCGCATATGAGCTTCTTACCCAAAGAAGAAGCTCGCTATGCACAGCGGCGGAACAAGGCCCTTTGCCAAGGCTTGTCTTGCTTGTTACCGGGGCGGGCAAAGCTTATCGACGTCATGATTTCGGCGTGATATTGGACGGGAGGCTGGCACTGAGTTTGATGAGCCGTTTGCTGTCGATGGTGTGTGGAGGTGGAGGGAGGGGAAGAGGCCGGGAGATGCCCCGCCACATGCCGCAGCCCAGCCCTGTGCTGACTCCGACCGAGCGGTAGGCCTTAATTGTGGCTTTGGCGACTGAGGCGATTACTTGGAGCTGTAGGCTTTTTCCTCCATCAGGAAGTCACATCGCATGGCTTGTTGCATTAGGAACTCGAGATGGCCAAGGCTTAGTTTAGATGGGTGAGTAGTGTCTGGTTGCACAGACCAGTAGCAAGTGGCTGGGTGGGGACAATCGCAGTCAGCAAGTAGATCGCATACGGGCAACACGGCACGGTATCTCGGTGTCTTGTTGAATCAGGCTTCAAGCGGATGAGTATACAGGCGGGTACACGCGGGCATAACAGCAATTGTTCGCGTCTTCAGAGGTATTGGGTTGGAATGAGCAATGTTGTTGGTGGCATTTACTGATGCTCTAATCTCCGGACATTGAGAGGTTTATGTGTGAAACGCACACACCGAGGTTACTCCTACCCAGTGTACGATAGCCCATCCGCATCTTCCGGGCTGAATCACGCTGTAATCCCAGCACTCGTCACACTCCTCCGTCTCGCCTCCTCCACATCACCACCGAAATACCTCGCAATCTCCACGTCCAATTCCCTACCCATCAGCTTAGGCATCTCCTTCGCTTGCTTGACCGGATTGATGCCCTCATGGTGCGCGCTCGCAAAGATGACATCCAACTCTTCCAGACTGCGACCCTTGGGCTCGGGGAAGAAGAAGTAGACGCTAGGGATGAGGCAGGCGTTGAAGACCGCGAACATGGTGTAGGTGTTGTATTGCAAATTCGCGAACGCTGGGGGCGTGATCATAACGATGACGAAGTTGGAGATCCAGTTCGAACAAGTAGACAGTGCGTTTGCTTGGATGCGGATGCGGAGGTTGGTGATTTCGGCAGGGTAGAGCCAGGTCATTCCTAGCCAGCCGATCGCGAAAAACGTGTTGAAGGCGAACATGAATACCACAGCCGTGATGCCATACTTCGGCTCTAGGACCGGGGCACCAAATTCGTTCTCGGTAGCTGTCGACACCATGCCGCTCATGATGGCCATGCTAGCCATCATGCCGAACGCACCGAATAACATGAGTTTACGACGGCCAGCTCGTTCGATCAAAGGGATCGCGGCTAGTCCGGCGAAGAAGTACTCAGTACCGTTGCAGGCGGACAGGAGCCGGGACATGTCTGGGCCGAACCCGAGTGAGTTCTCGAAGACGTAGGTTGCGTAGTAGGTCTGAGTGAAAGCAAGGTCAGTTTGTGGTTTACCACAGCGATTTCTGAAGGTATACGCACGATAAGGTTGATACCGCTGATCTGTTGGAAGAACTGCGATGCGACTCCCAATAGTGTGCGCCGAAGGTTCTGACTGGGACCGTTGTGCAGAAGCTCCTTCATCTTGAATGGGCCATCCCTACTTTGCGCTTCCAGCGCGTCTTTGATGTTCGTGAGCTCCGTGTCAACTTCTTCCGAGTCCGCAGATGTACCAGCGAGGCGAGCAAGTAGGTGTCGGGCTTCAGTGTAACGGCCACGCATCACGAGCCATCTAGGCGAGTCGGGCAGGAAGCAAAGACCGATCCTAAGATGATGTTAGCGGGATGCCGTGAATGAGCAAGAGGTATACATACATGACGAGGATAGTGAAGAAAGACTGGAAGATGATGGGGAACCTCCAGCGTACGGAGCTATAGCTCTCACCCGATGGGAGAAAGTAGAAGCCGTAAGTCACCCAGTACGATATCATAATACCTGCGACAATGACTGCTCCGGATGTGATGATCAAGCGTCCACGCTTCTCCGGTTTCGCGCATTCAGATTGCCAGGTCGGGATCGCTGGGAAGGCTGTTAGCGAGTGACGACGTGTGCGGGTCGATGTACTACTGACTTGCTGTGACCATGCCATTGCCGATGCCACCCACCACACGACCGATTGACAGTAGGGCATAACCGTCAACTCCACCACCACGAGCACCTCCTGCGGCCACTTGAAGAACAGTTCCAACAATCATGATGAAGCTGCCCCAGAAGCTACTGCTTTTCCTTCCCCAGACCTCACCGTAGAACAGGATGAGAACAGCGCCGAGGAAACATCCGATCTGATACACCGCAACGCATGCGGATAAGATACTGGGGCTGCCTGTACACATGCTCGGATCAGGAACAGTGTTGGTCGGTGCATCGAGCCAGCAGAGGTTGTTCTGACGTTCGCGAGGTGTCATAAGAGGGAAGTGGCGTTGGAAATCTAGATGGTGGACAGTGAGTGTACGCCAGATATGCGATTTGTAAAACGCGATGCGTACCATCGAGAGTGAGAACGCCGGATAGAACTCCTTGGTCATAACCGAACATGAGAAATGCCAGACAAGAGCACCATGCTATGGCGGTGTTCAACGCTGTCCCTTGGAGGAGACCAGCACCGGGAACGTGCCATTCTGGTAGGTTGCCGAGCTTGGAAAAGATACCCAGAACGCCGGAAGGTTGCGATGCTCCTTTTTGTTGTTCGATGGCGTCTTGAGATGACGACGAGTTCCCATAGTTGATGTTATCGATGCGCGTGTCCGGAGAATGTTCCGAGCGCTTCTCGTCTATCTTTTCGGAACCCATTTTGAGATCGAGACGGTCGCAAAAGACGTAGCCAACGAATAGTGCAAACATCTGCTGGTCAGCGTCATCTTATACTTCTGCGCTTCCGCACACTCGGCTATCCTGCCGGTAGACAGACGCAATTAGGTTGCAGCCAACTCATCCGTGCGCCATCACCTGCAACCCCAGAGTCTTAGCCATAGCATTTATGGGGTAATTTGTGGCTGGTACAAAGCCCATAGGCGACGTAGTCCAAGACTTTGTCAAGTCGGAACGACCTCTTCGGGCAACCCGTCCAGGTGCTGAGGCTTTTCCGATGCACTAAGTAGGGCCAAGAGGCCAGACAAGCAGCGGAGCGGAGCCTTGACCTTGGCGAGCATCCTCATCTCGGCGTTCGGGTCAAGAATACGGGAGAAGCTGTGAACAGAGATGAGTATTGCCGCGTAGTCGGGGACATGGAGTAAGAAAAGGTGGAGGAAGCGAGAGTGAGAAGTTGTTTGTTGTGTGGCAGACGTGCTGTTCGTGTCTGCTTTGAATCGTATATAACGCCGAACCATGCTGACTGTATAGTACATAGGCGTGCAAGCATGCGGCTTGCTTCATGCCTGTCGATGGCTCCAGATGGTAGTCCTTGCTGCCGGGGCTTCCATCTGTGGTGCGCGGCTTCCCTCTATTCATCCTGACTTCCATAACAGCCCAGATCTAATATTCATCGTGATCGACCAATGTTCCCATTGCGCCCGCTCATTTCGTGGTGAAGAGTTCGTTCTATTTCTTGCCGCGTTTCGCTTCGAGGAAAAGTACTTGTTTCCGCACTGTGCGTTGTCAGCCATGTTCCTGCATCTAGCCTGCCTCGTGAAGATCGCGGGTCTTTCGATGGCCCCGACATTGTATCCAATCTAGCATGGCTCCGTGTATGAGGCAAGCGCCGGTCGAGGAAGGAGGGAGGAAGGAGCGATGGCGTCGTACCGATGGGATCGTATTTGAGCATGCTCAGCGGTTGATGCGCACGTGGTCTTTGCATTGTCCGGTAGTAGCCCGTCATGGCCATCGAGATCAGGCGCACCATAATGGTACGGGACTTTGCTGTGAAGTGTCGTCGTCAGCGCATGTACGCAGAGTTGTGAGCCGTGAGAGGGTGCCTTGTGAATCGGCGGGGGCCTTGTGTTGGCTTCTGGGGACCTGAGGTTGGAGTAAAGCAAGAGCGCATACCTTTCTTCGCCATTGCGACAGGCGGAGATGTGTGGTGCCGACGTCAACGGTGGTGATGTCGCTGCGTGACGATTTGCAGATGCGGATCTTGAACCGGAGGTTCTGCGGCGCCAAGCCAATCAGCCAATCAGCGTCGATTGAGGTCTTCGCACCACCTAGAGTTCAGCTGTGCCCGTCAAACCTCTTCGTTCCAACCATCACGGCCATGATTTTGTTCGCGCCTCTCACCTTTGACCTCGCCATGTCCGGGTCTCGCCCAGAACAATGCTGCTCTACCTTGCATCATCCGAGTCCTGACTGACGCTTACATAAGTGCACGCTACACGTACCCCTCGCGTTCCCTTCAGAACTCTTCTTCTTCTTCGCGACTCTTCCAACTTTGGCTGTCATTAGTGTCCTTTCGATCGTTCTACCATTTCCATTGTTATTTCCAGATTGGAAGCCCATGTGTACTATTGTCATCCCATTTCTTTTGCGACACGTCTCCATCACCAAATTCGGCGATGACGACGTCATATGCAAACCGTCATCGACACGACTGGCGTATGTCACTCACTCCGAATTCGAACGCGGGGCGATGTTGAGAAACATATGGATTGATATACCTAGAAATGTTGGAGCAGAGCAACCTGCAGACCCACGCGACATGCCGTTCCATGTAGCGGGCGAGCGGAACAGCTCTGCGTCCATGCATATACGCAACCTGCCTTCCGAATCTGCGTAACGGGCGCAGCAAGTATACTTGATGACACCATTCTAGATCCGACCCCTCGAGTTCTGGAAGACAGGGCATGCACTTTGGTTTCTTCTCGGCTCCAGTTTCGGGACACTACTATCGCCCTGAGGCAGTAGGTCCTTTTCTGTGGAGTCGTTGTACTGGTTGGAAAAAGCGGCGTTCGAAGATCGCGTGTCCCCTTGGAACACCAGGACCAACGTCGAGCCGATACCAACGTCGAGCCGATACCAACGATGAGCTCAGAAAGCACTCGCAAAAAGGAGCCATGGAGCGACAGACCTGGATGTCAGCAGCTTTCCAAAGACATCCATAGCCTGGAATGGATGCTTGACGAACCCCATGTCGATTGTCCATACTCGGCGCGCCGGCGTTGGCAGCAAAAAGAGCGTGGGAAAGCAAGGCGTGCAACAGGCCCGTGCTGCCGTCGCCTTGCGTGTTCGAATCGCTGACCTTACACAAGGCAAAGTGAAGCCAAAAAATTCGCAAAAAAATGTTAGCTACTCTTTGATTAAGCGTGTCATCCTTAGTGCAGGGGCCATGCTAATCTTCTCTGTATCGTTTCAAATGACCAAATGCCCGAAGGCGAAGAGAAGCCCAATTATGGTGGTTATATGCCCAAGGTCGAGCGGTGAGGGCGTTTGTTTGCGTCGAGCGGGTACCCGGGCTTGTGCGCAGCAACAAGGCAGCAGGCGGCGTGTGGCATGCGCCAAGCGCCGACAGGGAGCCGGGAGGAGAGGAAAGGAGTTCCGAGATGGTTAGTCAAGGTTGAGTCGATGTTAGCATGGCCTGCAGATGGAGTGTTGAGCGTACCTTTGGTGCGGCGCTTCCTGCGACCCCAGCCTCGCATCACGACGATGGAGCGTCAAAGCGGCGTCTGAAGTCAAGGCGATACCCTTGAAACGCTTGATAGTTGGCTTTTGATGTCGTCGCATCGTTCGGAAGCTGCTTTGGCTATCTGGTCAGCTATGAACGAAATCCGCGGAGTTGAGGTTGACGATCAACCAACGATGACGCATTCCGGCAATCAGTTAGCCAAAAGAGGAGAAGGCTGACATGAAAGAAGGAGATGAGAAGAGACGGATGTAGCAGCTTGCTGATGAGGCTTAAGCGTATCTGCGACAATGTTATCTGTACGCGAATGGGAAGAGCAGGGCAGACGATGACATTCAGCACTATGGCGTTGGGTGTCTTGCGAAGAGTAGACTAGAGCTTGTCGCATGAATAACCTGGACAAGGCAGACCGCCCGCGGTTAGCATGCTGCTGTCTTGAGAGGAACGAGGTACTTACCGTCGAATCCAAGAAGAGCACATCCACGTATGCGACACCAAGCGGTTAGCATGATGCTGACTTGATGGATCAGAGGTACTCACCGTCACGCCGCTGGATACGAGTGAGGAAGCTGGAAGAGCACATTGCGCGCATACGACACCGTGCGGTTAGCATAATGCTGGATCAAAGGAGTTGAGGTACTTACCTTCAAAGTAGCCGTCAAGACTGGAGGTCCGCCGCAATGTCGAAGAAGGCCAGAAAACACGCATCGCATTAGCAAAGTCCATATCTTTGGGCATTTGGTCGATTCGAACGACACTCACCGGATGCGTGGCGCCGCCGCCGACACCAGAAGCTACCAAATTCGATCAAGTACCCACTACTTCATGTGAAGTGTGGGAAATGTACGGACGACACAAAACATCAGTTCAATGAATTGGAAAAGATGCTTAACACACGCCCGGTCATCGAGCTGTTGGTCTACACAGGACAAGAGCCCTGAATAGCAGCTCGAAATGCGACTTACTTGCTCTTGGAAGCCGCTCAGTGAGAGGCCACTATGAGGAAGTGGTCTCACTACCTCAGAGGCTGATGCGACTTCCTGAAACCAACATTGGGACTGCGATCGATGAAAGAAAGAGATGGGGACATGAGAACACGCCGGTAGAGTCTGGAAACTTCGGGTCAGCTGGCCAATATGAACAACACTCACAAAATTGCTTGGCCGTTGCGGACAACGACGTTCGAGAAGGCTACCAGATTTGGTTGGCGATCGGGCGGAGATGCCGTGAGTGGAGAATGCGAGATGGTCAGGCGATGTGACCAGGAGGACGTGCCAGGCGAGAAGGCGGTGCCAGGCGAGGAGGCGTATATTTTGATGATCAGCAATGTGCCTCACCACCGAGCATTTGGTCAAGGTACTTACTGCGATGAAGCAACCAAGACCGAAGCCTGCCGGAACGCGGACTGGAACGCCTGGCGCTTAAGTCAGTGAAGGAGTCGATCTTCAGACACTTGTTCAATCTGAACGACACTCACATGATAGCATTCGCCGTTTCGAATGAATGGGCTCGAGAAAGCTGACCATCGTCAACACCAGTCGAGAAGGCGTGCTTGCAGAACATCAGTATAAGCCACAGCCATCGAGCATTTGGTCGGAAGTACTCACAGCGATGCGACTGTCGCTCGAAAGCCGCTGCGGCGTCGAAGATCATGCGTTTGAAGTTAGCCACCGTCTTAAACCTTCAGGCATCTAGTCAAGTCGACCGACACTCACAGATTGCTGTCGCCGCTGCCGGAGACAAGGCTCGAGATAGCTTCCATTGGATCAAGGGCTGGGGAAAGAGATAAGACTCAGATCTCGGCGGCGCGGACTGGAGATGCTACTATGAGGAAGTAGTCTCGGAAGATCCTCGCGCCACCTTGAGACGCGCAGAGCTAGCATTGGCACAAACGAGAGGAGATGTGAAAGAGTCAGTTGTGGTCTTGTACGAAGGGGGGTGAAGAAGGGAGTACTTACTGGAAGCCAAGATACGCTGCCATGTCGACATCAAAGGCGGAAGCATCACGTCACGCAAGCAAAAGGGACCGAATAGATATCAAACAAGTATAAATCTGTGAAGAGTTAGCGATTGGAACCAGTAAGAGAAGCGAGGAGGAAGGACTTACTATATCTACCGCGACACCAAGGAGGGTTTCCTTCGACACTTCTCATCCTTGACTCCACCGACTCATCCATGCCGGCGCGAATCCTGACCTATGTAATCTCGCCAAAGCCCTAAGAGAAGGAGCGGAGCTCGTCCTCGGCGACGTAGCCGGAGAGACCACCGATGAAGACGGTGGTGTTGTTGGGGTCAGTGAACTAGTTCCATCGGCTGGCGTACAAGCATGGAAACCCAGATCCATCATTCCGCAAGTCGTCATCAACATCCCCATATCCCGTCCGTTTGACCGAAGGGTCAGTGGAAGAGTGAATGAAGCAAAAGGACCGCAGCCGTGGCGAAGATTGATCTAGCATAGGCCCTGGACTGTATGTGCCCTCGAAGTTGTCGCTGCGGTAGCAGGATGACTTCGAGAACACATACAGTCCAGGGTCTATGCTTTGTCCAGGACAGAGCTGTTGGCGGTCATCCCATGGGGCGTCATCGGGGAATGGGCAGACGCTGAGACTCGGGAAGGAGGCGCTTCAAGCGTGAGCCACTGAACGGGATAGGCGGACCAGTGGGTCTGAAGTATGCGTTGCGATGCGACGGCCTCCGGCGGTGATGTTCTCGTAGCCTGCGGGCTTGATGTCCCATTGCGTCATGCGACGTTCGCGCTTCTGGATGTTTGTGAAGCTGGTGAGGTCGGGTGTAGCCTCGCGCGGCTTGTTGAAGGGCGGGGACTCCTCCTTTGCCTCCAGACGGCTTGGAGTGTTCTGGCATCTTGATAATGTTACTGAGCGACCTGCGGTCGAAGAGCCCGAACCCGGAATCGACAGTAGAGCTGACGCATCCTATCACGTCCGCCGCCGAAGCCTCCATCGCGTCCTCCCCGAAAGAGGCGATTGGGTAGTGGTAACAGTCATGTCCATATCATCTCAAGCCATGACACACCAGTTACCAGTATCATCCATATCCGTCTCAAATCAGACCAACTCCTTGTGCATCTCAAGGACCTGAGCCTTGGTGCCAGACAGCGCCATAGCAGCGAACAGATCCTCCTCGAAGCCCGCCTGAGGGCCCACACCGCTGACTTCTCTTTGCGCTTGTTGACGAGTAGCACGAAAGGGCGTGATAGATAGCGCAGAAGCTAGCGAATCCGTCTGGTAGTGTCCAGTAGATTGGCTTCGGTACCTGGCCTCCCTGTCGCCGCGCATCCTGAGGACGGGCCGCTCCGAGACGGGCTTCTGGCGAGGTTTCGAAAGTTTGCGACCAACGACGACACGCGCGAGGATCGGGTTGGAGAGCTTGCGCTTAGCGGCATCCTCGTCACCGCCGCCGCCCTAATCCGGAGTGGTATTCCTCTCTGAAAGAGGCGTGCGCTTGTTGACGAGTAGCAGATCCGGAGTGGTGTTCATCCCCGAAAGAGGCGATAAGTACTTAAACTCTTCAGCTGATTCAGTATGGTAAACTCCGTTCGCAGAAGCTGGAAGCAGCGGTGATGGAGAGGAGAAGTCGTGGCACTCTGGGCACGGGCTACGAGCATACAGCAATAGCGAGGTGGCAGTCTCAGATGGAGACCGCCATCCGGGCATGAAGTATTCCAGGGCGTCACAGGATACTGCGATGTATGGGCTTCGTCTGTCGACGATATGCTCGTACTACTGGTTGGTTCCTCTCCGAAAGAGGCGATCGCTTGTTGACGAGTACGATGGAGAGGCGAAAGACCGACACATGGAGACCGCCATCCGGGCATGAAGTGTTCTAGGGCGTCACAGGATACTGCGATGTGTGGGCTTCGTCTGTCGACGATATGCTCGTACTACTGGTTGGGTGAAGAGATATCGGCGGCTTCTGAACTGTCGCCCCAAGACAAGCGCCAACCCTAGGATGGGGAAGGCGGCTTACAGCTCGGGATATGAAATATTCAACATACTCGAAGGCGACGGACGCTGAGATGGTTGCCGATCTTGCCGAACATCAGAGCAGATCTTGACGTGGTTGCCGTTGGCACGAGCCGTCGGAGGAGATGAAGTATGCGTTGCGATGCCATCGCGTTGGTGTCGTGAAGCACAAAGTACTCCTTGCCGATGAGGGTGGCCAGAGGAAGAGCTGAAACCAAGTGCTAGCAACTATGCGTTGGCTCATCTCCGCCATCTTGGTATGCAGATTCACTCTCGTGATGCCCAGGAATGTCTGTGGGGTACCGTATCGATCCTCAAGACTCTGTTCTTGGACGTGAAGGACAGGAGTACGTGATCGTGCGGGATGTATTTCGAACTTGTCGTCGTTGAGCATGGGGCGTGAAATCTGTTGATGTTGTGGCGCAACGTTGTAGGCATTTGGGCGAGAGGTCTGCCGGAGATGTTTGCGGAAGACCAAGCGCAACGAATTCCACGTACTCGATGAACAGGTCGATGTTGTAGTTGTTGAAGAGATGCTCTGCATTTGCCGCCAACTTCAAGATCCAAACGTTTGTCTTGTGCGACATAAGAAGAGGTGTGAGTTCTTCTCTGCTCACGACGGGCGCCGACCCTATGTCAGGGAAGGCGACCTACCGCCGCAAATGTCTATCGCATCGTTAGTATAATGATTCATTATGGAAGGGACAATCCAATTTGTAACGTACCAAGAGTTGACGGGGCTTGACATCCAGTGCAACAGTCGGATTTGAGCTCGATCTCGAAGACAGATAAAGCAACATTTGGGAGGAGGATCTGGGGCGCTGGGCATCTTGACTGCCGACGCTACGTCGTTGTTCTCGGAGGTGGATGGCGCATCGCCCCCGAACAGAGATGCAGATGTTCCGGACATCGTGAGGCAAGGTATCTCAAGGTATGGCTGCCACGCTTCGCGACGGTGACACTGACCCTGGGCAGAACGTACTGCTCTTCGACTCCTCGCGATTCTGGATTCTGATTCGGGAGATGGGATGTCTCGATGGTGCGTAGGAGGTAGAAGCGGACTTGCTGCATTAGACCTCTCCTCGCCGTGATCACCGAATACTCCTGGGCCGTCCGAAGACGGGCGTCAACCCCACGGTGGGGAAGACGACTTACCATGAACGCCAACCCTATCGGTAGAGAAGGCGGCTTACCATGGGCACCAACCCATCACTAGGGAAGGCGACTTGTCGCTGTCGAATCGTCCTCCTCGAAGCCGGCCTGTGGGCCAGCATCGTCCTCCTCAAAGTCCTCTCCTTGAACGTACTCATGTACCATGGTAATGACCTTCTGGAACACATCCGTCAACAACGATGAGAACAACGCTGCCCTCACTCTGGATCGTTTCTTGGTTCATATCGGCCATGTAAGGAGGCGATGTGTGAGCGTAGTATATGCATGGAAGAGCCAAGGAGGTAAGGAGGTTGAAGCGAAACCAAGGCGTAGACGCGACGTCAGGAACGCCCTTCTGCGGGACCTCGACGGTGATAGACGCTTCCGGCAGCGCAGCAGAGGTAGTAATGGCGTAGCAACTTGACGATGCAGAGCTTGAAGTTGACTCAAGCGTGACGGTCATGAAGATCGTCTCAGTCACGATGACGACTGGTCGGCAAACTCGTGCACCTTGGAGCCGGTCTCCAAATCCAACAAAGAGCAGAAGAGGAAAGATCAGCTTGTTGGGTCTCGACGAGCTCTCGAATCTGCTCCTCCTCGATGTATGTGGGGATGTTGACGATGCTCAGCTTGTTTGGGCTGTCCCTGACAAAACAGGTCATGCCAACAAGCGATGTAAGGGTGCGCTTGTTGACGAGTAGCAGAAAAGCTTGTGTCCCAAGACCCAACAAGCTCTCGAATCTGCTCCTCCTCGATGTATGTGGGGATGTTGACGATGCTCAGCTTGTTTGGGCTGTCCTTGACAACGGACGAAACCTCATCGCCAGGCGGGTATGCGTTCTCATCGGCGGTGGGAGTGATGTAGTCTTTGAGTCGGCGGATGGACCGACCCGATCCCACAGCACACAGGTCATGCCAACAAGCGACGCGAGGATGCGCTTGTTGACGAGTAGCAGAAAAGCTTGCGTCTTGTACGTGTTGGGCCTTCCCGAGCCGACAGGTTGTAGATGGAGCAGATGTTATCGAGACCACCACAAGCAACGTCGGCAAGCATTTCCTGTGGACGAGTTAGTATGGGTTTCAAGTATGATGCAAGAAGCTACTCACCGGCCTTGTACTCCACTTGCCAATGGGTCGCTGCTTGTACCAGCGAGTATGTCCTGGCAGAAGCGAAAGGCGGGAAGTTCGTGTACCTTCCATCTTCTAATGAAGAACGCTGCAACGCTTGCAAAAGTAGGAAAGATAGCGACGTCGAATTGCGATTGCAGATGACCTTGGAAGTTTGATAAGGCTGGCGTTCGAGGCGGTTTCTCAGACGGCGTCGATTTCGCTCGCTCGAGGCGGTGGTATCACGGCGACACCAGCAAGTGGTGTTGACGTCTTGCTGGCGACTGGAGCTCACTTGGCTACCCTCTCGTCGTGGGAGAGGGCATTGCCCGGGAGGCGGGTGCGACGCGGCGCGGACCCGGAGTCAGATTTTGCCTCCCATGCCCTGGGTGGATGGCAAGGCTTGTCGGGGTGCTGGTATCTGGCAAGCGTTAGTCAATGAAGACGAATTGATTGAAGGGGAAAGATGATACTCACTTCGTCTGGCGCCAGCTCGCCTCTTCGTTGTAGCTTGTTTTTGCTCAGTGTCCCAGTGACACATCTTGCTTGCTTCCAAGTACTGCTTGAACTTTCAGGGGCGGAAGGCGTTCTCGGCGAGGAATTAATTTGACCACTCGCGGCGCGGTCGCCTAAACAAACGAAGACACCAGCAGGCAATGACCTTTCCTGCTGGGACTGCCCTGTTCAGCCATCTCCCTCAGACTAGGTGAGATGTTTCCAGGAAGCGCGGCGGGGACGCACAGAGACAGATTCACTTCCCACACTGAGACACGTTAGCAACAACCAAAGGGGAGAGAGGTACTTACATCACTTTCTATACTGATACACGTTAGCAAGAGGCAAAGGTTGAGGACGACGTACATGCGATAGGCTATCGAAGCCTTGGGGTCGGATACGATTGCTGCCCATGATGGGCGTATGGATCGTCTGTCTCGACCACATGGCATCTCGAGATGCTGCCGTATAAGTGAGAGACAGCCTGAATACATGTCAGTAAGTGCATGTCGCCGGTAAGGGTAGGTAGATACTTAGCGTCGGAGAGACGCTGATGAAAGGTATACTGCTCGCTGATGTGCTGGCCAGCGCGTAAGGCGGCATGGATGGCGAGCTCGGAGGAGGGGAGGAAGGAAAGAATAGAGAAGATGGTGAGGATGCTTAGGAAAGCGGAATGATAGGAAGAAGGTTCAATGCGGTCAAGCACGAGTACTGGAGCTCAGTTAGCCGACCTTCTCCGAAGAGAAGGGCGTTACCAGGAGGCGGCGACGGGGAGCCAGAGTCAGATTTTTGCCATCCCACCCTGCAACACTAGTTAGTCAACGACGGGGGAGGGGGGATGCGTACGTGTAGAGAATGCCTTGTCATGTTGTACAGCGGTGGCATCCGAGATGGTACTTGTTCTCTTAGGCGAAGGCGAGAGAAGCGAAAGAGGGAGGTATCGGAAGGACAACGGAAGTCAATCGAGCCTTGCGCGCGCAAGCCTTGTCGAGCTTCTTGGGAAAGCAAAAGGCCGGTTGTGGATGGCGTCTCGGTTCGTGGTGTTGAGTTCGACCAAAGGCGATGGCAATACCCTGGAGGTAGTCAGCCAAAGTGCTCACCTCGATTAGGTATTCGGGGTACTTGGTAGAGATATGGGGAAGGTTTGAGGGGACATGCACTGGTCTTGTTAGTCAATGAGCTCGATGAAGGAAGGGAATGAACTTAGAAGTGGACCAAGAGTTGTCGCAATGGCCGTGAGGGGTCGGCATGTATGAGCTCGACAACCAGCGCGTCGCTGTTGCAATGCGGAATGCAGCAAGTCGGAGCAGTCGATCGTGTACTCGTAATTGGCCGCCATTGTCTGAGGTACGGTCAGTAAGGAGGGGGATGACAAACCTTGATGAAGGAGGGTGGAGGAGAAAGGGAGATGGAGGTGGGAGAGCAAGCTCCACTAGACGAAGGTCAGTCAAGGAAGTAATTATGTAAGGCAGAAGAGGTAACATACCAATGAGTGGACATAGTCGTTTTGTGAGTAAGGATTGCGGGGTAGCGATGCTGGGTGGACTGATGAAGGTACTGCTGGCGACGACAGCAAGTGTCGTAATCGAGGCGCTGCGACTACAAGTTGAATATTAGCAGGTCGGGGCGACGCCGCGCTGATGGCGACATCGTAATGTTAGAGGAGGAGAGGAGATACCTGAGGATGTGGTCATAGCTGGCGACGGCAATATGTGCCAGGAAGTGACCCAGCGACTACAAGTTGCGGATTAGCATGACGAGGGCGACGCCGTATCAATGACGGCGTCGCAATGTTAGAGGAGGAGAGGGCATACTTGTAGAGGTGGTTGAAGCTGGCTCTTGGAGCGGGGTACTAGACCAGACGCGCGACAGCAGCGCCGGCGAGGGCATCGTCAGCAAAGCTCAAGACAAGGAGGGGAAGATACTGAT